GGAATCAAAGGTTTAGAGGTTTGTGAGAAGTTAAAATTGTATTTTAGAATTCTCTCTTGTCCTTCTGATAAACTAACATTAGAAATATTAAGTATTGGCATAATGTTTACAATGGGAAGATTTTTTGAACTACTTGAACTGGAAGACTGTAAAAGAAGTTTTTCAAATTTAACTACAAAGGTATTTTTATGACGGTTAACTGCATTCTCCATTCTAGAACAAGCCTTTTGTGCAATGGCAGTGAATTTTGGATATGAATTACCGAGTTCCAGATGAAGCCTCTGAGCTCATGTTCAATTTTGGATAACTGTTGACGTGTATCCCTTATGATGGACCGAATTTCTATTTAGCTAAATATTTAGTTTCTAGATTTTCTACTCTATTAGACAATAACATTTACCCCATGAAAAATTTAATAGAGTTTTTTAAAAAAGGTTAAAAATATTTCTCCTAGAAATTTACTCATGGTTTCATGTAAAATTATTATTCACCAATGTTCCAGTGGAAGGTGCATTAAGATGTCTATAAAACTTCACAAGTTTCATTTCTCTTGCATTGAAATTGATAAGTTAATTTTTCTCACTCAACTCTGTTTGAAACAAACGAATTTTGTTTTCCAAAATAAATATTACAAGCAAACTGAAGGATTAGCCATGGGAAGTCCTCTCAGTCCCATCCTGGCCGATATCTACATGCATTATTATGAATCAAAATTGTTTGATACTATAAATTCCCCGGTATGGTTTCGCTACGGAGACATTACTTTTACCCTGTTTGAAGGTAATAAAGATGATTTAAATAAAGTTCTTTCAACAATGAATTCCACTGATCCTGCTATTCAGTTTGCTTTTGAACTTGAGACTTGTAATTCTCTTCCGTTTCTCGACATTCTGGTCACACGTAACACATCCAACTTCAGTACTACGGTTTACCGTAAACCTTCATCGGTTTGCCTTACACCACACTTCAAATCATGTCATCCTGACTAAACAAAAGTTAGCTCTCATTTTATTCCTTATGTTTTCCGTGCTCTTCAAGTTTGCTCCTCCAAACTATCCCTTGATGAAGAACTAAATTATTTAAAAGCAATAGCTATTGACAGGGACTTTTCACCCAACATTATTAATCAAGCAGTTAAAAAATTCTCATCTCAACACACCAAAAGGCACACTCTTGTTTTAGGAGATTATAAAAATTCTTTTTTCATTCCCTTCTTTCCATCAGTTAGCTATAATGTTGCACATATTTTGCAGAAATTTATGTTTCGGGTCGTTTATTCTCCCATCAATAAAATTCCGAGTTCCATACTCGAGGACCACATTCCAGATATGAATTTCCTGCGGTATTTATAGGATTCCTTGTTAGTGTGGTTTAATTTAGATTGGCCAAATTAAGAGAGTCTTAAAATTTCATGTCAAGGAACATGAGGCATATGTTAAAAGGAAACAGTGAAGTCTTTTGCTGCCAAAATTATTCAAAAAACATCTTCCATTGGTGAAATGGATTTTCTGGAGGCTTTCACATTCAAAGAAATCTTTCTGTTCTAGTTAACGACCCTAATTCCAATCCATCTTTGCCTTCAGTCTTTAAAGAAATTATGTTTTAGTTTTGGTTTCATCAACAGATGGCGCCAGTGGCTTATCTCCTGCCCAGGCCTTCTCATTTTATCTATTTATTATATCTTATTTTATTCATTTGTGCTTTTGCAGCTGAGGATGATGGTTAGGTGAAACCATCGAAACTAGTCCAGTGAAAATTTGAAAATATGATGTTGATTTTTGTTGTTTGACTTCTAAATTAATATTTGTTTGTCGTGTTATTGTATCATAATTATTTCATTTTATTTCTTAATATTTCAACATAATATGATAAAATATAATTTATTTGTTGTAATCTTCAAAATACATCGTGAATAGGTGTCTCATGCTTTGTAAATGTTTAGTTCTTTTCTTGTATGTATGTTTTGAGAAATGTATGTATGTATGTTTCGATCCATTTCAATATGCGAAATCTGTTATTTAATTCCTTCTTGTATTCCTGTATTCCAAATTTGATGAATATTAAAATTTGATTTTAAATATAATGCTTTAATAATAATAAAATTTTAAATAATAAATTTAAATTTCCATAATGAAACACCATTGCATTCCAAATCATCACTAACATATGTCCATAATCCGGACATCCTTTCTACGAAATGAAGTCATAAATGACCTCAACGCCACAAAACTTGATTTAATCTGGACTACGCAAAACTTTTACGTATGCCTTACATGCGTTTGCGCATTCACATTGGGAGGATGTGTCTCCAGATACGTTAAAAAATGTTTGGCATAATTTATGGCCAGCTACCATATTTCGTGGTGAGTACGATGGAGATGATAGCCGCGAATTTGAAGGTTTTTGGACATCGTAAACTAAACGTGAAATTTTCCAGTTATTGGATTTTTTAAAGAAATGTGGAAAAGCACTAATAAATGAAGATGATATAACAGAAGTTTTTCATTGCGATGACAATGCCCCAATCATCAATCAATTAACAGACGGCGAAATCTGTAGTATGGTTTTAGATGCAGAAAATACTGCTTTCGATAGTGAAGAAAGTGAGAGAGAGCTTATTGAAAACGAAAAAATTTCGATTGACAAGTTTGTCGGTATTCTCGACACAGCAATTACAGGACTTGAACAGTGGAACTTTGTAACAGAACAAGAAATTATGTCTGTTTATCAGAATTAAAGAGAAAGTATTAGCACAAAAAACGAAGCAACTTAAACAACTTACATTGAAAGAAATGATTTAATAAAGGTAAACAAATAAATATTAAGCTCCCCCCTTTTTTTTTTTTTGTAAATTTTGATACCCTTTAGATCATAAATTGCTCTTTATTTCATAAATTACGGTTTCATATTTTTAATTGTATAATTTTTGCATGCCATCTTACCAGATTTAATTTGATGATCTATAATCCGGAAAAACCCCTAATCCGTAATTGCCGAAGTCCCAACAAGTCCGGATTACGAACTTTGTACTGCATTTGAATGGGATATCATTTGTATTTGGCAATAATAAAATTAATATTTTATTTCTTAACAAATTTATTATCAATATTCACCAATTTCTGTCGTTTTTTGTGCCAAAAACGGTAAAATAACGGATGTCGTAAAAAGTATGACACGTACGCGCTTAAATGTAAAATTACCAAGTGCGCGTGCTGGAAGGTTAAGCTATGCATGTGTGAATTTATGGAATTACTAAATTTGCATTAAGAAATCTGTGCGTGATATACAAAATGATTAAAAAATTGTGAAGTCATTTAATATGCTGTCTTTTGTTGAGCTTTCAGAATCACTATAAATTTCGCAAATAATTTTTCTGCCCTTGAATATATACCAGTTATATATGTTCACTTTCTATTAAGTAAAATTAACCATTTCTAATAAATAAAATCATTCAAATATACATCTTTCATAACATTTAATAAAGATATTTGTTAAGAAAGTTGTAAAGATTTTTCAGTGAAGTTTATATGGTAAAATCTTTATATCTAGTAACAAATAAGGGAAAAAAAAAAAACTCTGAATGCAGTTGTTATTGCTAGCTAACAATTTTTAATAATATGTAATTTTACTACTATTAGTTCTGAGAAAAATCTTAAGACTAGAAGAGTGTTTAAAAATCTGAAAGTAATAATACATAGTGAAGACAACATTGACCAAGATGTTTTACAAATGTGCATGTACGTAATTTGAGTAATAATTAGCGAATCTTATTTTGACTTTTTTTTGGAGGGGGCTGTATGTAACAGGCTAAAAAATATAATCACCAACATTGCAAAAATGGGAAATTTTAATTAAAATACTGAATTTCCACCTTTGTGCTTTTGCTGTCTTTTCAAACTTAAATCATTCACTTGGAGTAAGCAATTTTCTGGTATCACTTTAATAGTGTGTTTCAAACCAGTTTTCATCGGCTCATGGTGGCCTGCTTTCAGATGTTCCGGTGAAGTGTGTTAAGCTGTTAATAGCCAGACAACTGAGGGAAACAACAACAACAACAACAACAAAAAAAAAATAGTTGACTGAAACACATCAAGCTATGATTTTGCAAATAATTCTGAAGTTAATTAAGCGAACAATAAATGAGTAGCCAATATTGAATTGAAAGTATAGTTTTGTGGTAATCTACATTTAGCCACTTAAGAAATTATCAGATTTTAAAGGACTATCAAAATTCATAGGAAGTTAAATGCCTATATATTTTCTATACAGCATGATGTTTAAAATATAAAGAAAACTGTTAACTTCTGTAATGCTTTTCAAGCTCCATATAAGTTATTGTCTTATTTAGGAGGCAGGATTTCAGATTTTTATAATGGATTTTTTTCAGCTTGTGAATGAGTGATTGAAATTTTTAAGAATAACATTTTTTCACTGTGGACAATAGAAAAGCCAAATATATAAGGGTTTAGCCTGCTGTTTATTTGCTCAATTTATTCTTGGAAAAGTAGTTAACAAGTTTTACTCATTTTACTTAGTTTCCCTAAATTATGCAAATATTTTCAGTGCAGAGATTCTGATGTTCTCTGAAGTTTTTCAGTTGATGCTCTGTTTCTAAAGATTATTTGCAGTATTTTGAAAAAGTTAACTAGAATCTTTGCCTCTTGATGATCCTGAATTTTCCTGCAGCTGTTTTAATTTGAATTAAAAAAAAATATTTTGTATGTTTTTCATTTAAGAAAGAAATGCAATTCATATTTTATATTTCACTACCTTATTCTATTTTTTATTATGTGTTAATGTAATATCTGTTAATTAAGCCTACACCGTTTGAATACTGTCAATTATACATGTAGGTCTTTATATTTTAGATTGTATTATTAAACCATAAAATATTTATGTGCTCTGGTGGTCAGTGTTTACTCTTCTACAATTTGTACTAATCTTATTTGCGATTCAAAAATTTGTTGTACATGTGTGAAAACGAACATTATATTTTTCAGACACTTCTAAAAGCCTTTCTTCCAAATCTTACTGTAACTTCTGCTATTGTACGACGAGCTGCTGCAAGTTCATTGACATGCATATGTGAATATTCTAGAAGGCCATCATCATTTTATTCTTGGTTGTTATCTGCCTTGTTTGGTAAGACATAAATGAATCTAATTTAAATATTTAGTTAGTCTTCAGTGCTAACATAACCCGAATACAAATGGTAACAGACATTAACAGACAGTGTGCATGTTTATTATGTGCCTGTTTAAAAATAAAACTTATTTCAATGCATTTGTATTTTTATATACAGAAAAGAATATTGGTTTTATTTTATTCTACAAGAATTGTTATTTATTTCAGTTTGTTTGGAAAACTATATCTAATGGAAATAACAGTAATCAAGCAATCTTGGAAACAGAATAAAATTTTTTGTGTTCTAAGAATGTGGTGTTTTTGAGAAATTTTTATCTTTATTTCATTTTTTAATGATTGTCATTTAATGCTGTTGTATAATTTTAATGTAACAATTCATTATTTTTATGAACAAGTTGCTCATAAGACATTTCTAATGTAATATATTTTGTATTGAGCTTCAGAATGGTAGTTTTTCTGTAGGGTCCATACAAAATGTAAAGTTTTTATATTTTTACTTAGGTGTCACATGGCTAAAATTCTCATATAATTTATCTTATTTCATTCATTTCCTAAACTGGAGTCAGTGATCTGCTGCCAAATCATATGCATTGCTATGCAATCGGATTAAAGCACTTTATGTATTTTACGTATTGATATGCACAGCAAGTGTTGCATGTAATATAAATCTTATTATTTTATTACAAATGGCTAAGCCGAAACATTTGGATACTACAGTAATGGACTTTTTTAGTGCATATTACATAACTCTGTGCATGAAAGTTATTGATTTTGAATTTTTTTGTGCATGTTTTTATATTAAATTGCAGGCGTATATTTAGGACTTACAAAATTTCTGTCTGAATGTATTTGTTTAATGTACCCCATTTGCTGGAGTGTTTTTCTCTTTTAAAATACCTTTCTGAAAAACACATGTATTTTATATATTCAAGCTAACATTTAAAAACATATATTGAGATTATTTATCATTTATTTTCACTAAACAATTACACCTTCACTTAGTTTTAGGTGTAGGCATTGTATTTAGATTATTGTCTTATCTATTTATCAGAACCAATTTAAAATATTAATTTCATAGATAAAATGCTGTATGCCAGATCTTTTGTATGCCTTTCAAAATAAAAAGTGCTGGACCTTTACATATGCAAGTTAACCCTCTGACTGCTCAATTTGTGGACCGAAATCACTTCAAAAAATGTGTAATTTTTTTTTTCATATTTTAAATCTATATATATTGGAAAGTTGAAAAATGCACTTTTTCTTTCTAGAAAACACTTTTATGTAGATTTTTATCATGAGAAACTAAGTTGCCAGAAAAATCAATTTCAGATGCTATCAGCAGAAAAGAATTTTTTTTAATAAATTTCAATCGAATTACAGTTAATTTCTATTTATTACATAATATAAAAAAGTAAAATGTATACATTTTAAGAATTTATGAAGCACTGAGGAAAAAATACCTTAGAAATGCAGTTTAGTACGATAGAGTTCAAAACAGGGTTCAAGGCAAAGTCCAACTTCACAGTCTTCGCGTTAGATTCAATAAATCTAATTAATAATCAATTTAATTATAAATCTAATCAATAAATCGAATTAATATTCAACAATTTTGTTAAATGATCAAGATAATCGCTGATCGTTTTCTAGCAGCCATTTCTGTAAGAAAAATGCGGCAAAAAGTGAAGTTTGAGCTGTAATACCACGTACCTTCAAATCCCGCAATTTAGTGGACAACTAACAATATATGTTGGCCAAAACGTAAACTATACGTCAAATACTGTATATAATTTATTTCAATGTTTAAACGGGAAAAAAACAGGATGCGCTCCTCAATAAAGGAAGAAAAACACATGCCCGTGGAAATCGCGGGATGAGCAGATTTTACTACATTTGAGTTGCCCGTGGAAATCGCGGGATGAGCAGCCAGAGGGTTAAAACAATATGCAAATATGTCTTGTAATTTAAATTAACTATAGCCCCTTAATGCTTAGTTTAGTTTGGTATTTTAACTTTTTATTCTAAAAGTAGTGTTACCCTTTTCTGCAGTGCATCATTCCAAGAGTAATCAATGCCATGATTTTCTTAAGTAATGCTGATGATGTAAAAGGAACTAAAACTCAAAACAGCCAATAATAAATTAACAGAAGCATTAATTATTTAGTCAAATGTACCGAGAACCAAAACTAACTTTTTGAAGTAAGATTTCATCTTAAACATAACTTGATTACATTCTGCACTTCGGCATAGACTGCTGGTGCCACTAGTGCCCTTGGCCACTGATGCAGAACAAACACACCAGTTCGCTCAAGTGGATATCCACTATTGTTGGACATGTTTACCGAGAAGTACCATGGAATCCTCCAGCTTGGTAGCACAAGAAACTGCAGATCAAAGATAACAATGAAACCATAATTTCTGCAGTATTACTTATACTATTTAAGATGTTAAAACATAATTTATCAATATGAAAATTAGTTATAAATTTTTGTATGTGTTACAGTTAATTAGAATAAGTAATGGTTATCTAAAAGATTTTATATCTCATAGTCTGTGCAAACAAAAACCTTCTCTGAAGAATTATGATTATGTTGACTCTAAAAACAGAAAAGCTTTTGAACTGAGATGCTGAAAAATTTAATAGGACTCTAAAATGTTGCATTTATTTTGTAAAAAAAAATCTTAAATTCAAAAATTATACTTTATAAGTAATTATTTTTATTGTTTAAAATTTTATCATTTGCATTTCTCTTCATTTGCTACTGTTACAATTAATTAATTTTGTTAATCAAAATTTTATCGTATATATTTTTCTTCATTTGTTGCTGCTTTAACATTTTATCTTTAAAAAGGTTTCTTTGTCTCTATGCCTTTTTCTCTCTGAAGGAGGTGAATATGTAAAATAAAAATATATGTAGGTATAAATTATAATTGAAATTAGCACTAGCCCCTTAGTGCTTAGTTTTAATTTAGTATTTCCACTCTCTGTTCTAAAAACAGTGATACCTTTTCCTGAACTATGTAATTTCAATGCTAATCCATGCCATATAGACTCTCACATAATGCTGGTGATGTAAGTGGAAGTAAAACTCTAATGGCCAATAATAATTTTACAGCAATATTAAATATCCAATCAAAATACATTGCGAATCGATATTACTCATTCTGAATAAAGATTTCATCCTGAACTCAACTTACTTGCTTTTTGCTCTTCAGAATAAATAGACTACTGCTCGCTGTGTTTCTTCCTACCACAAAGCTATCAGAAATGTAAATATTCTTTATAAAGTATGAGTAATGTGCCAGTTTGCTTTCTGGCTGCAAAATGCTTACTAAAATAAAAATGAATAGTTAATCTGCCTCCACTGCTAAGTTTGCTTTTCATTATGGATTAACATCTATGAAATGCAGTTTTTCTACATTTAAGTTATCAACGCTTCTACATGATTTTACCTAAGCTTGCTTCATTACATATAAATAAGGTAGTCTTATATTTCAGCCAGCATGCTAATTCATAGAGTTTGTTTTTTTATAGAAGAAACAAAGTTGCAATTTTTCAGTGTTGTTATTCCAGAAATTCACTGTATTGATTTAGAGCATTTATTCTGTATATAGCCTTTATTTTTAGTTTTGTAACTTAAAAAATTGTACATTTATTTTAATAAAACCTCTACATTAAAAATGTTTTTTATTAATGACTTTTGCTTTTTTAGAATTAATTCTGCCAGTGCAGGATGAACGACCAGTTTATGTTACTCTTGGTGTTCTGTTGTGTTTTCGGCACCTTGTTCCCCATCTTAATGATGCCATGTCATCTCCAAATTATAAAGGAAATGTCAGTATTATGCAAAATGAAGAAGATATGGGTGTTACCAAGGAACAAATTTTAAAAGTAAGACAACATTATATTGTTAGGCTAAAATTTTAAATAAATGGTTTTTAGATGCACTACGAATGAAGTTACATTAACCCCTTCACAATCGGATGTTGCTGACCTGTAAACCCTCTTGACATGGGTGTGTCATATGCATCAGTGCCAAATGTTACTAGCAGGCAGGTGATGTACTTGGTGCATCACTGCTTGCATTTATCTTACAGATGGGTGTATCATATATGCACTTTCAAACATACTTGTTCTTTTAGAATTTTTCTAAATCACTAGCTTGTGCTTCGTGTCCACTACAGTTTGCTTATTTGAACATGTACGCTGTTGACCTTGTTTTCATGAAGTACTTTCTGATTCTGGCAGTTCCTTTAGATGTACAAGCAGGAGATATAAACCAAACAAAATCCAGATCATCTGCAGTTGAGGCTTCTCATGAGCTAAGCATTGGGCAGTTTCTAATGCTTCAATTTTTTTTTTTTTTTTTTTCCTGTGGGAAGATTAGGAGTTAAGCTGTGCTTTTAGGAACTCCCATTAGTACTCAGTTAACATCTTTAGATAGCAGATTTTTTTTTTTTTTTTGGGTCGGTTAAGAGAATGAAACTAATAGTGTGATGTCCAAGAGAAAGAAGTTTTTAATGGAAGAACAGTAAATTCGAATTGTAAATGAGCCCGTGAGAGATTATTTTCATACCGAAGACTAGATTTAAGTGGGAATAGTAATTTGAATACCGAAATTTTGGCAGAGACTTCATAATTTTTTCAATGATGATCTAATGAACATAATAGTTGAAAGTAATAATTTCTGTGAACTTAAAATGAGCGAAATTCATCTTCATCCAAAATCAACAAACTTCTGTAGTTGTGCCTAAAATAAGGGGATTCCTAAAATTAATTATTCTGCTTTGAATAATTAAAAAGCCCTACCTGAAAATGTATTTCACAACTAATGAAATGCTAGCGATTAGACTATTGCACATTGTCCTTTCAGATTCATTTATGCTGTATTATTTAATCGTATATTATTTCGTACATATGCTTACTCAACACTTACTCAGCAATTATAGATTTAAGCAAGTTTTGTACATTTCATCAAGATGCGTTAAATATTTTATTTTGTATTTAGATTTTAATTAAAATTTTTTCAGAATCTTTTGATATTCTGTATTTATAATTTTATTACTGTTAGATACCAATCAGGGAAAAAAAAATCAAAACATTTGATTAAAAACAGTATTTGTAAAGATTTTTTTTAAAGTTAGGTTTAATGACAGGAAATATCTCATCCTGCAGAATCGTGCTACTGAAACAACACACCATCTTCAATGTTAGTTGCACTAAGCAGAACAGCATTGCACAAAAGGATTAAGTACTGATGCACATATGATACATCTGTCGTGAAGGATCTAAAATGCAGTCAAACTGCTGCCATTCTTATATGCAAAAGTCAAATCTTTCACCACGTGAAACATATTTGAACCTTATATATTAAATATTGGCAAGCATTCCTTATTTTACATTTATAGTATAAAATAGTAATTAATACTCACTGGTGAGAAATAATAATGAATGCATTCCACTCAATAAATGTCATCATTTTAACATCATTTCTTTGCTTCTAAACTTTCAAGTAAAATATTCTATTTTAGCATGTCAAATATGAATGAGTCAGTGTGCTGCCAGTGACTCTGCTCTAATATCACATTTGATATGGTGGACCATTGGAGAGAAACTGAACTGTATCATATATGATACGCTTGAAGCAAAAAGTTTAACAGCCAGAAAATGAAATGTATGAATGTAATATTATTTTCTACTCTCACCTTCCCATATGTCATATTTAGCAACTGAAGCATGATTTCTGTAGTTTTCTCAATATATTTAATTTGGCACATCCATATTTCATGCACAAGAAAATGTACTTAATAATTTACCAGCATAAGTAATCTTGTCCTTTAATTTTTACATTTTTTATAAATGTTTACATTACTAATCTTTGACCTTTCTATGTCTTGATTTTGAAGGTTCCATTCAGAAAAAAAGTGGCCTGTCACATTCTTTCCATTTGAGGCTTTCAAAGAATTGACACCAGTACTTTTGTATTACCACTTACTCTTTCTAAGTGGATTTTACAGATATATTTGTGGATCCCAAACCTCTCATAATCATGATGTCCGATTTGCTGTTAATTTGATTAATTTGTTTTGCTCTTTATTGGAAGTATTAGTATTTGAATTTTTCTCTAAAGAGGGACAAGTGGCATAAAAAGCTCTTAAAGTCTAAATTTGATTCTAAATCTTGGACAAGTGTGTAGTGATTCTGAACCCTTTAAAAGAATATTCAAGTTCTAAGTTTGATGTCCCTTTTTGTGTGAGTTTGATTACCTTAATTAAATTTGATTCTAAATCTTGGAAAAAAAAAGTTTGGTGCATCTGTTACTAAAAAAAACTTAAGTCATTGAAAATGTAGATCTCAGTATAAGTTCTTTTCATTTAGCAAACCACTTCTAAAATAGCTTTTCTGATGAAAGAGAAAGGGAGTCTAGTCATCATTCATGTTCAGGTTTGCAAGTGTTCCTAAAAAGTTGAAAAATTATGGTAGCCAAAGTTCAAAGCAGGTAGGTTTGATGATCTGATTCTTTAACCTTGGATTAAAATAAAGAGCCCATTCTTTACTTAGTAAAAGTAAAAAACATGCTACTTATTGCAAATTTTATAAAAAGTAATAACTGTAAAAAATTAATTATTACTGACACTCTAAAATACAAGCATAATTAAAATTTAATGACACTCCAAAATACAAGCATAATGTAGAATCGAAAGGAAGCATATAAAAATATAAAATCATTGTTAAAATTCAATTCTAAATATCACTTGCTTAATTCAGTTGTTGAATATGTTGTGGAACTTAATACCTTAGATCTGATAGATGCTAGTTGAAAGAACTACGATAATGTGGCATTTGAATCGCACATAACATCTTAAATGTTAATGGAAAGATTTATATTTAACAGCCATGTGCAAGAACAAGTAAAGGTTTATCTCACTTTAAAAAAATGGTGAATTCAGTGATATGCAGACAGTGTTTTAACAGACAGGATTGTGCTGGGCATCACCAACTAGAGGCTACAAGAGAGAGGAGCTGCTGCATTAGCAATAGGTGTAAGATTATACTTATAGGTATAGATTATAGGTGAAGCAACTTATGTTATCTTCATCAAAAATTCATCAAGAACATATAATAAAGACATCAGTTCTAGTGCTGGTTCTCAGAATTAATCTAAATCAAAAAGCATTTATGACAGCCAAAAATGTTGTTGCAAACAAAACATGGAGATTGCCTGCTTATGGAAAACAGTATTACAAGTACACTGGTGAAATAAATTAAGAGAATTTGCATATTTTATTGAATTGCATGAAAAGAACTGAACTGAAGGAAAAACCACTGCTTCTAGATAAAAATGCAAATCTTGTACGACAAATACATAAGCGTACACGTGTGTGTAGGCGGAGCCAGCAGAAAAACAGGCTTTATAAGCGCAGGGAGGGTAAGACGAATTGCGTTCAGTAGCACACCTCAACGAATTTCTTGGTGTTATCTTGTAGCAATCAGTTAAATTAACGGAAGAATAAAAATAAGTAACCACCAACGTTTAGATGATGGAATCAGGTGGTGAATTGTGGGGAGGCTATAGGCAGGCCAATCGAAAGTCCAGATATGCAGAGAGATTAATTTAACGCCCAGTGTCCTCTGTAACATATGGAAACAGTTCCAGGATACTGGATCTATAGAGAGAAAGCCTGGGCAATGTTGTCCAAGAGCCACGATGACCAGAGAAGATCTCTATTTGTCGATTTTAGCAAGGCGTTACAGAGGGGCTACAGTTTATCAGCTCTCTTGGGACCTGTATGCAGCCACAGGAACCCATGTAACAAGGGTGACTGTTTCCAAAAGACTGAATGAGAGAGGGTTGTTTGCCAGAAGACCAGCTGTTTGCGTCTCACTCACGTCTACGGACAGGAGAGCCCGATTAGCATCATGGAGGCAGCGTAGTGATTGGGGTATGCAGCAGTGGGCGACCGTTATGGTCACTGACGATTCCCATTTTAGCCTAAATACCAATTCTCACCGTACTTTCATATTGAGAGAGCCAGGGACCCCGCTACCTACCCTCCAATGTCCGTGACAGTGTAATGGCCTGGGTAGGCATCATGTTGGATGGCCACATACCTCTCCACATCTTTGACAGAGGCTCTGTGACTACTGGGGGGTATAGGGATGAGGTCTTGGAGCGCTATGTTTGCTTTTTCTAGGGTGCAGTGGGCCCCGAGTTCATCCTACAGGACGATAACACGAGGCCACGTAGAGCTCTTCTGGTCGACGAATTTCTCGAGAGTGAGGATATTTGCTGGATGGATTGGCCAGCCAGGTCTCCAGACCTCAACCCTATAGAAAACGTCTGCGGTGCTCTGGGGGACGGCAATTGCAACTCGCAACCCCCTCCAAGAACCATCCAAGAATGAAAACAGCGTTGCTGAATGAGTGGGATTAATTGCCACAGGCACTGATAAACTGCCTTATTTCCAGTATGATATCACGCTGCGAGGCCTGTATGGTTGTAAGAGGGGACCATACCCCGTATTAACCTATTTCTTTTGTGTCTTCCTCAACCGCTGTTTCAGACCTTCAGACTCCCATGAGTGTTACACACGAACATGTGTATCTATTATAAGTGTTGTATGTTTATTTTGTTTGTATTATATCAACCTATACTCACACCAAATTTTACTAATGTCTGTCCAGTAGTTCTGGAAATCATAGATCAACTATGAAAATTCTCTTAATTTATTTCACCAGTGTATGTTAAGTTGAACCATTTTCTTCATGTTGTAAATATGGTGTGCAAGAGATATGTAATGACAATCAAGAACAGAATGATTTATCTCCTAATGGTAGCCAGAATTTTTTTTTTTTTTTTTTTTTTTTTTTTTTGCGTGTGTGTGTGTGTG